TGTCAGATCAGCTGGCTGAACCTTCCCCAAAACGCCTTCCTTCACATGCTGCGCGCCTCGCAACGCAGAGCCTTTCTCAGAAAAATCAAGCCACGGCGTCATGACCTTGGTCACCTTGCTTCGGTCAGACAGGGCCTCGACCTTTTCGCCAGCACGTGGCTCGCCCGCACCAAAGGAGCTGCCAAATGCAACGCATGGCAGCTGGCGCTCCTCTTAAACTACCTGTCGGGCGGGGACCACACCCAACAGCGACGTTCTCGATCAAATACGTCCGCTGATCCCAGCCCTATTTGCCGTTACTGTGATGAGGAAGAGGAAACTCAGGAGCACACTGTGCGTGACTGCAAGTGCTGGGCCCGTGAAAGAGTCCCTCTCACCACCCTCATCAGTGACGAACAGTGGGCACGTCTTCCTCCGCACACAAGACATTGCGGGCTCTTCGATGAGGACCCAGCCCTCCTCGATCTGCAAGCCGACCTCGCGAGGGACCCGCTACCTCAACCCATACCGCGGCCCCCGCCTGAGGGAGATCCTGCGGCTTCAGCCCAGGACTCCTACACCACTTACCTTGACCACGACACTGGTTGGACATGGGTCTACGCTGCCACGGACGGTGCATGCACCAACCAAGCCATCCCTTTGCTTGCAAGAGCGGGCTACGGCGTCTACTACGGCATCGACCACCGCATGAACTACAGTGCGCGCGTTCACGGCATCACGCAGAACGCACAGCTTGCGGAGACCCTCGCCATTGTCCACCTCACGGCATGTGCTGAACGGCCCGTACACGTCTTCGTGGACAACCAGGCGGTGGTCGACGGCTTCCAAAGGATCATCGACGGACACTCACCTCCGCAGGGCACGCACGTGGAGTTCTGGGAAAAGGTCCACCGATGTGTCATGGCCAAGCCAAACATGTTCCGCGTAGAGAAAGTCGCTAGCCACCAGGGCGACACGGGCATCGACCTCGGGCTCATCGGGCCCATCGCGGAGGAGTTCAATCGTCAGGCTGACGCCCTCGCCACAGCGGCGGCACGTACTCATAACCTCCCAGACGACATCGTTGAAGCTGCCAAAGCACGACACCGCCAAGCGACCGTGCTCCATGGAGTCGCCGTTGCCATCTACGAGCGGAGACATCGTACTCTTCCTCTCCCACACCGCAGGGCTGGGTTCACTGCTGCAGAACTAAACAAAATGGAACCAAATCCCCTGCTGTCTGACCAGGCTCCACCCGTGGCTGGACCAGACATCCCACAAAACCCCGACGAGCTCTGGGCCGAGGCCCAACGGGGGTTATTCGACGAACAGGAGGACGACCCGTTCGGCTTTGGTGGAGGTTTGGACTTCCTGGGCGACGAGTCAGCCAGCGCCAACCCTGCCCCGGCGGGCACCCGCACGGCGCCCCCGACTCCGCCATTGAGTGCGTCAGCCCACCCACATGACAACGCCGTTCCTTTTCAAGACGCTGATGAGCAGGACGATGACCTTTTCAGCCTCGGTGGGGGATCGGACGCTTTGGACGACGGACCAGCCAACGAAAACCCCGCCCCGTCGGGAAACCTCGCAAACCCTACTGCGACGCCGTCCCCAAGAGCGTTAACGCCCACATACGATGATATCGGTCACCGCCAGGACGCCGACCACGACCCGAGTGCCCCCCGAGGATTGGGTGGCATTGAGGACGCACCGCCGACACCACACGCTGCCGACCATGCCGCCCCACCGAGTCACCAACCCTCTACGCGACCGACCTCAGCGGCCTTGCACGGCATCACGACTGGCCCCACCGTGCATACCACTTCACCTTCCCATCGTCAGCGACCCGCGGGGGCGGCTTCAGCCCCCCCGCAGGGTACTAAACCAGACAGGCCCTCGTGCCCCACCCACGCTTCCTCCGTTGCTGAGCGAGAGGAAGCGGCTCCCCTGACCTCTCGGGGCGCGGCCCTAGCGGCTCCAGCCCTGGGGTCGCGCCGGCCCCTCCAGTCACCTTTTAACGGTGACGGACGTCAGCGTTCAGGGTCCCGCACGCCGCTAGCCCACCTGGACAGGCGTACCGAGGACCTCGCCTCTGTCTCGAGATCCTCGGCGGATGTCACTGAGCAGCCACCTCTCACCGACCGTGAAACCGAGCTGTCACAGGCTATGGCTGCCCTTCAGCAGAAGTGCTTAGCTCTCGCCGCGGACCTCGCCGCTGCCCAAGCTCGTCAAGGTCCTCTACTCCAGCGCCTCCACAGCGCTGGGCGAGCCTTCGCCGAGCTGCTCACCACCTCGCCCGATGGTGTCGTGCCGTCACTCAACATCCAAGCTATGTTGTCATCGTTCCGCGGCGCTCCACCTGGTGCCCCGCGCTGATCTCCTCCTCTCTGCCTGCCCGTGTGTACGTGTGGCTCCGCGTCCACGGTGTCAGGGCGTGGGGGCGGGGGGTGCCCCGTCACTGCGCGCCGCTTAGCGGCCAAGCGCCCAACTGGCGGTCCGCCAAGCCGCCTAGCCACGTGCCAGCACGTCGCCTTTCTTGTTGGGGCCTTTTACCTCACGCGGTCTGTCAGGTGAGATCTTCATCGTCTGTCCGCCGTCTGTAGCGTCAGTCGCACTGCGCCGGGGGAGGGGGTTTTGTAGCCCGCCCTCGTATCTTAAGGCTGCACCGCCGCTAATAGTGCTTGCGAGTTGTCGCACCGCAGTGCGCCTCGCGGACGGACCCTGGTCCGCCTACTTGTCCGATCTCCCTTCTCCCTCCTCACTCCCTCCCTCCCTCCCTCCCTCCTCCCCTTCCTCCCTCCCTCCTCCCTCCCCTCCCTTCTCCCTCGTCCCTCCCTCCCTCCTCCCTCCCTCCCACCTCCCTCCCTCCCTCCATCCTCCCTCCCTCCCTCCCTCCCTCTCTCCCTCCCTCACGCCGGCTCAAGGAGAAGGGGCAGGACAACCTGCCCGACCTTGATTTGGACGGCACGTTTTTTGTTTGTTTGTTGTTCTTTTATTTTTCTTATTTAATCGCTTCGCTCATTCCGCCGGCCCATATTGTCGCACCGTTGTGGGCTAGCCGAGTTTTGGGGGCCGTTTTGGGGCCTCTTGGGGCCTCTTTTGGGCCTCTTGGGCGCCTCTTGGGGCGTCTTGGGGGCCTCTTGGGGGCCTCTTGGGGCCTTTTTGGGGCCTCCTGGGCGCCTTCTGGGGCGGAGGGCTCGATTTTTCAGTTCTCGGTTCCCCTCTTGAGCCCCTCTTGGGCCCGTCTTGGGGCCTCTTGGTCCGTCTTGGGCGGCACTTGGGCCGTCTTGGGGGCCCTCCTGGGCCGTTCCGGGGCCGTCTTGGGAGCCTCGTGGGCCGTCTTGGAGCGGTCTTGGGGGCCTCTTGGGCCGTCTTGGAGCGTCCGGAAGCCGAAAAAGCCAGAACACAAAAAACATCGACAAAAACCAATGAAAATCAACGATTTTGGCCTCTTGGGGCTCTCTTCGGAGGCCTCTTGGAAGGCTCTTGGGGCGTCTTGGAGGCCTCTTGGGCTGTCTTGGGGGCCTTTTGGGCCGTCTTGGGGTCATCTTCGGCGTCTTCGAGCGCTCTTTGGGCGTCTCGGGGGCCTCTTGGGCAGTCTTGGGGGCCTCTTGGGGCACTCTTGGCGCGCTCAGGGCGGCCTGAGAGGCCGCACCCAGAAGGAAAACCATCTCTGAGTTGAACCGGGCGGGACCTTCCCAGGCGGCGGGCGGGGTACTTTTCGCCGGGGGACCCCCAGGGGCCGCCCCGCGCGCGCGAACTAGTACAATACAATTGTTAACCAGTTACCGGAGATCTTAGCACGCCTCTGATTCTTTTTTGTTTTTTGTTTTCTTAGGGGGGCCCTGTCGCTGGCCCACGGTTCGGTTGGCTCAAGGCCGCACTGTGGAGGCAAACAGGTCCTCTCCGATGGGCTCCCCTGAGGGTTTTCGGCGGGACCGTCGGACCCCTCCCTCCTCTCTGGCGTGCGATCACTCCTCCCTCTCTCCTCCTCCCTCCTCCCCCCCTCTTCCCCCCCCTCCCTCCTCCCTCCTCATCCCATCCCCCCTCCTCTCCCCTCCTCCTCCTCCTCCTCCTCCTCCTCCTCTCCTCCTCCTCCCTCCCTCCCCTCCTCCCTCCTCCCTCATTCCTCCCTCCCCCTCCCCCTCCCCCTCCCCCCTCCCCTCCCTCCGCCTTCCCATCCCCCTTCCCCCTCCCCTCCCTCCGCCTCCCCCTCCCCTCCCTCCCTCGCTCCCTCCTCCCTCCTCCCTCTCCTCCCCCGCCCCGGCCGGCTAGTCTGTGTCTGCTCACGTGCAGGTCGTGAGTTGGCCAGGACCCAGCGAGTTTCGATCCTTCGTGGGGCAGTACAGCTGTCGCAAACACCTGCCTCCCGCTGCTGTGCTGGTTTTCCCGCGCGGGCTGACGATGAGCCTTTCTCATTCGATCGGATCCGATCCCCCCTCCCAGCCAGCAGAAGACGCCTTCGCCGCGAGCGTTCTGGAACGCTCCCAGAGCGTTCCAAGGTGCTCTGAGAGTGCCGCGACGCCCGAAACATCCCCAAGAACCGCCAGATCTCAGAGAGATTATCTATTTATCCTGACCCGAGTTTGTCCTCGTCCTGGCCTCGTCTCACCTCCCCAGGCGGGTGCGGCTCTCGATCATGCGGCCGCCGCTGCTGCCGCCGCTTTCCGTTTTCCGTGACCCGTCGTTGGGCGGTGGCGTAAGTGGCGTGGTCCTCATGCCACGTGGCGCCACCCGCCTCGGCACCTTCTGCTGTTCGAGCACATACATCAGCGAAACCGCGCGTGACATTGACACGGTCGCATTGACACGGTCGCATTGTCACGGTGGCATTGTCACGGTCGCATTGATGTGCTCGCATTGTGACACGGTCATTGTGACACGGTCGCATTGACACGGTCGCGCCGCCACAGGGGCACGTCGACGCGCGCGCGAGGCGCGCCGGCCTCGCGTTTGGCCGTAGCGCTCCCTCGGCGCCGCGCGTGGCACGCGGGGTATCCTGACCCCCCCCCGGTCGCGAGAGGACACCCTCGCCGCGGGCACGCGGGACCCCGACCCCGAGGACCTGCTGCAGCGTCTGGACGCGCAGGCGCAGGCCGAGGACGGCGCGCCCGTGGTCGTCGTCGTCGGCGGCGGCGGCGGCGGCGGCAAGGGCGACGACGAGGAACAGCAGCACATACGAGCGAGTAGGGTGTTCTCCTCGTCATGCCCGAAGATGGGGCACTGAGCATGGCGTCCTTTCTCCTCGGTGTCTGCTGGCCAGCGGGGGCCCTTCCCTCGGGGGGAGTAAGGACGAATCTTGCTCTCTCTCTCTCTCTCTCTCTTTCTCCCTCGTCGTCGTCGCCGCCGTCGTCGCCGTCGTCGCCGTCGTCGCCGTCGTCGTCGTCGTCGTCGTCGTCGTCGTCGTCGTCGTCGTCGTCGTCGGCGGCGGCGCCGTCGTCGGCGGCGACGGGGGATCGAGCTTCGAGGTTCGTGGTTTTGGGCGGTTCTCCGTCCCCTTTTTGGGCCTCCTGGGTCCCCCCGTCAACACGGCTCGGTTCTGAGATTGACGGGGAGGTGCGGGCTTTGTTCAAGGGTGCCCGTTGGGCCCAGATTGTGTACGCTTCGCGAATCCTCGCCAGCCCATTCAGAAGCCCTGCCCACGGGATCTGACGGGAAATGGAAAGCAGAGACGCATATGGTGAAACAGAGCAGTCAAAGAGAGGAGGGGGAGTAACGTGTTGAGCCATGTTGGAGGCTATCTTGGAGCATCGCAGGCCTTCTTGGAGCTGTGGGACTTTTGGGGTCGTCTCGGAGTACTCTTGAGGCTCTTTTGGGGCATCTTGGGGCCCTCTTGGGGTTCTTTGGGGGGTCTTGGGGTCCTCTTGGGGCTCTTTTGGGGCGTCTTGGGGCCTACTCGTGGGGCCCTCCTGGGTCTCTCTTGGGGCCCTTCTGGGAGCTTCGGAGGGCCTCCTGGGGCCATCTTGGAGGCCATCGATCAAAAGGGGGGGGTCCCTTATCGAGCTCCCCCAAGAGCCCTCGAAATCGCCTCTGGGGGCCCTCTTGGGAGCTCTTGGGGCGATCTTGGGCTCTCTTTTGGCCGTCTTGGGGGCCTCTTGGGCCCATCTTGGAGCTCGCTTGGGCCATCTTGGGGCCATCTTGAGGCCTCAAAAGCGCATCGGAAGCGAAGAGGCGAGAAGGCCAACATCATAGATTTCCTTTGGATTTTGAAGGCTTTCAGGGAGGTCCTGAGGGGTCTCCGAAAACACTTGGATCCGTCTTGTGGCTCTCTTGGGGCCTCTTAGAGGCATGCTGTTAATTAGCTATCTTGAGCAAGGTTGGGCTATCTTGAGCGATCTTGGAGGCCATCTTTGGCTCTCTCGGGCCCTCTTGGAGCCATCTGTGGCCACAAAGGACCCTCTGACACCTCGCGCCCGCCCCCGTCCACGTCCAGGGGAGGGGGTAGGGGGAGGGGTCAAGACACCCTCCAGATAGCAAGCCGTCTAGCTCACTCCCACCCGCCCTCCCAACACATGAGTAACGCTCGAGCCTCAGCATGTTCAGCGGTCGTCTTTGGATGGACAGCTACTGGGAACCAAAACTGAGCCCATGTGCGCGACGTTGGGGCGAGGTGCGCAACGCGTGCCAGGCGCGCCACGCGCGCCGGGCACCCTTGGGGCCAAAGCGTGCCAGGCACGCCTGGTGCACCAGATGTGCCACGTGCCTCCGCGTGCGCCAGGTGTGCCGCATACTCCAGTCGCGCCAGGTGCGTCACGTTCGGGGCACGCGCAGAGTGTGTCAGGTACGCCTGCGCACGTGGCAGAACACGTCGGGAAACATAACGGCCCCCACCATCCTTGTCGAAAACCATTGCCCATCGTTGTGTTTGGTGGGCCTGCGCACAGTAGGCCATACGCCACCACCCCGCCGTCCCTGTCAAAAAAACAATTTGTCAATGATCGCGGGGTGGCCGCGCATGAACCAGATTTAGCCGCGAGTTGCACTTTGTATTGTGTTTTGTCAGGGATGGTAGTCCTGCGCACCGCAGGCAATCTGCTGTCACCCCGACTCCTCTGTCAAAAACCAATACAAAGTGCTTGCGGGCCTCACGAACATGACTCCAGACTTTGCCCTGATGTGAATTTTGTATTGTTTTTTGTCAGGGATGGTGGGGGGGCAGCATCGGGTTGGTTGCGCATGTTCCGAATTTAGAGGTGGAGTTCGTTTTGTATGGTTTTTTGAAAGGGATGGTGGGGGGTGGGAGCATGGTTCCTGGTTGGCCGACGGTCGCCTGGGGGAGGGGGTGTATATCAAGCTCGGTGCGCTCGCGTCATATCTGACGTCCTACCCCTTCCTCCCATCCCTTCCCATGGGGCAAATCTCCTCTCTATCCGCACAGTCGGATGTCGTAGCAGGGCATAGCATTACATGGCATAGCATGGTGTTGAAGATCAACGCGTAGCCTGACGCCCCAAAGTGGGGGGGGGGCTGCTGCGGCCCAAGAAATCAATGAATCGGCACCGAGTGTGTAATCACTTCCGATGGTTGCTTCGGGGGGGGCATTTTCTAGTTTTGGGGTCCTATTGGGAAGGACCGAAAACCATGCCGTGGCATGGCGCTGGAAATCATGACGCCAGCGCTGCAGCGGGAGCACGATTCGGAACAAGCGGAAGCGCGGAAATAAGGCCAGCGTGGCAGCGGGAGCACGATTCGGAATGAGCGGAAGCGTGGAAATGAAGCCAGCGCTGCAGCGGGAGCACGATTCGGAACGAGCGGAAGCCCGAAAATGGGGCCAGCGCCTCAGCGAGAGCAGCATTTTGAAAAGACACAAGCGAAAACCCAACTCGCCGACATGCTGTTTGGACAAAAAAAGCGCGAGGGGGGGCCGAACTCTCCGAGACAGATTCCGCCACAGACTCAGGGGAGAGAGGAGAGTAGTATTCATATTGAGTAACTGTTAATAGGGAGCAGTGATAAACCCTTCCCCGAAGGGGAAGATGGGCTCTTTGAAGAGGAAAGAAAGACATCGCTAGACCGCCTGCGCCCAGAGGGCGGGCGGGACTTGTTCATCATCGTTATCACCGTGATTGTTGGCCAGTGTAGACGCGGCCGTACAAGAGAACGCTTCTTTTATTTCCGGGCGATGACGTGCGTTACCGGAGGGGGGGTGGGCGGGAGGGAGCCGGTAACGTCACAATTCGCGCCAGCGCTGTCGTGGAATGCTTTGGAATAGCCAGAGACAACTCGGATAGCAGGTACATGGAATAGCATGTGGGGCCGAGGACTCCTCTGGGGTCCCTTGGCCAACGAAGACTAGAAGGGCGACCGACATGCCGCCACACCTGTACAACTTCCCTTTACGGCGTCAATTTCCACCCACGCGGTTTTCCTCTTGCTCCCTCCTCCTTCTTACGCCCTCCCTCTCCCCCTTCCCCTCCTTCTTCACCCCTCCTCACCCCCCCTCCCCTTTGCACCTTCTCCCATCCCCTCTCCCCTTCTCCTCCCCCGTCCCTTCCTTCATGAAAGGGGGCTTGAGCAGGACAAAACCCTGGAGGCGGCCTTCTCGCGCTTCGACCACTCTAAGAAGGGTCGGCCTGGGGCGGCAGGCAATGGCCCCCCCCCCTTCCTCCCACATGGGGAGGAGGAGGAGGAGGATGAGGCGGAGGAGGAGACGGAGGAGGAGGCGGAGGAGGAGGAGGAGGAGGAGGAGGGGGGTGATGGGGGGGGGCTTCGATGCTCAACCTGACACCATCTCCTCCTGCTGTTCCTTCTCCTCCCTGCCTCTACGCCTCCCGGCGTCGTGAAGAGGGAGATCTGGTCGAAGGAGGGATCGGAGGAATAGGAGGATCCACTAGGCGGGTCGAATGAGTCAACGCGCCCCGCCCATTCTCACCCACTGGTGCCAGTTTGTCTACGATTTCAACCACAGTTTCTGCGCCCACACGTTCTGAGGCTACGACCTCCTGCGCGTTGATTTTGTGAGTGGAGAGTTCTCGCAACTGGCGATGGGAAGGCGCTCGCGCGCCGTGCCGCGTCCGACTACCTGGCGACTGTGAAAATGCGGGCTGCGCATCAGCGGGAGCGGAACTACTGGAAATCTTTGTGTGGCGCTGTAGCGAGAGCACCAGTTAGTCTTCTCCCGGGCGGCCAACTTCCGATGGGCGCGGCGGAGACGAAACCCAACGATGCAGGGCTTTGCCCAGCAGTTGGCCCTTCTGGTGGGCTCATGATGCTGATGTTGACGACGATGGTGATACTGACGATGACGATGACGATGATGATGCCTCTACTGATGATGCTGCTGATGATGATGATGATGCTGATGATGGTAATGGTGATGGTGATGGTGATGGTGATGGTTACGATGATGATGATGATGATGATGATGATGATGATGATGATGATGATGATGATGATGATGATGATGATGATGCTGATGCTGATGATGATGATAATGATGATGGCCAGGATCAGGAACATCCCAAGGCAGGACATCACACGCTGGCACATGGCTACCATCGACGTCAAGGACTTCTACCTCAATGGAAGGGCCGAGGCCATCACTGAAGCGGTGGTCAGTCTGTGGCCAGCCCACGATCCAATGCGCACGACGCTCCGCAGAGTTCTCCTATTCGTCCTGGAAAGTCAATTCGTGGACGACCCGTGGGAGCTTTCGGATAATATCACGTACCAGGTCACCGAGGGTTCTGGTACGGGCCTCCTTCACAGCGGGGAGGTGGCTGACTGTGCGCTGGTAGCCTTGATGGAGCTGCCCATCACGAGCAGCCTCGGCTCAGCCGGCGTCAAAGGCTACTTCAGGTTCCGCGACAACATCCTGATTCTGAGTGCCAGCAGAGTGCCTGCAACAAAACAATTCTTTACTAGAATGCAGCAACTGGCATCATTCTATCCTCTGAAGATAGAATTCGGGTGGTGGAGAATAGATTTCCTTGAGCTTGAGATTTCAAAATCGGGTGACCATTTTTCGGTCTCTCATCTTCTCAAGCCTTCCTCCCTCTTTCCTCCCCTCGCCCCCTCCAGTGCGCATCCGCGTCACGTGCACAGCTCGTGGCCACAAGCCTTTGCCTGTAGAATCAGACAATTGTGCAGTACACACGACCTCTTCCAGCTCTCTATATCGCGAGTCGTCGATCGGTTCCGCGCTAACTATGCTAGCGAGTACACAACAGGTATGCTTCAGCAGGCGGAGCGCCATTACGACAGCGGCCGGGGCCGCCCGACGCCGTTACGAAAAAAACGGTACTTTTTTTCCTGGTTGGTTGTAGGTTACCATCCTACGATGGCGCAGGAGATATGTAGAGAGATCTCGGCCCTTAATTCGCACCCCACTCTTAGGCGCTGGCTTGAGAATGCTTTTCGTTCGCGACTTGGGGAACGCTCCTCAGCCATAGGTCTAAGTTGGTGCAACTCGGGCATTTCGCTTCTCAGACGGCTGCAAAGCATCCTGTATACAAAGGTGTAGAGGTTGGGGTAGGTGGAGGATTGCTGTTGCTGCTAATGCTCAGCACCGGCGACCCGCAGCCGTTTTTGGCGCAAAGCCGAGCAGATCTTAAAGCAAGTTCGTGGCCTGCAACTGCCACGAGCGTCAAACGGTGAAAAAAAGTCTTGCTGAACCCTTCCTGCCACATTCCTTGAGCGGAACTTCAGAAAATCTTTGTGTGGCGCTGTAGCGAGAGCACCAGTTAGTCTTCTCCCGGGCGGCCAAACTTCCGATGGGCGCGGCGGAGACGAAACCCAACGATGCAGGTCTTTGCCCAGCAGTTGGCCCTTCTGTTGACGACGATGATGATACTGACGATGACGATGACGATGATGATGCCTCTACTGATGATGATGCTGATGATGATGGTGATGATGGTAATGGTGATGGTGATGGTGATTGTGGTGGTTACGATGATGAAGATGATGATGATGATACTGGTGATGATGATGATGATGATGATGATGATGATGATGATGATGATGATGATGATGATGATGATGATTAGTATGATGACGAGGATGATGGTGATAATGATGATGATGTTTCTGATGGTGATGATGCCGATGATGACACTGGTGATGATGCTGCTTCTAATGATGATGCTGCTGATGATGATGCTGTTGATGATCTTGACGGCAATGATGATGAAGAAGATGGGGTTGTGGTGGTGGTGGTGATGATGTTGATGGCGGTGGTGGTGATGATGTTGATGATGATGACAATGGTGGTGGTGGTGGTGATGATCATTGTGATGATGATGCTGCTGATGATGATGATGTTGATGATGCTGCTGCTGATGATGATGCTTATGATGATGGTGATGATGAAGATGATGATGATGATTATGCTGATGATGATGCTGATGATCGTGCTGATTATGATGATGCTGATGATGGTGACGATGCTGATGCTACTGATGATTTGTGATGGATTATGATGATGGGTTACGATGGTGATGGTGATGCTGACCATGATGATTATTTCACTGTTGGGCTATCACGTTTACATAACAACTGTTGTTGATCCCTCCATAGGGAAGCCATTGTTTTTGTTTGACTTCCCGCTCGCACTATGTTTTTAATCAGGGAAGTATTCGGGTGCAAACTGCGCCCGTGGGCATCTGATGGGTCCCCGCGTGACATTTCTCACCATTCATCCACTTGCCTGCGGCAAGTCCTGCCAACGTGCCAGCCCTGCACACTGGCTGGCGAGTGTTCGGGGCGTGTGACACCTCGTGTCCCAAGCCTTGGGATAGCCTGTTCTTCCGTCCGTGCTGGGCTCTTGTGATGCTGTCTTGGGGTCCCTTGGGCCACTTTGGGCTGTCTTGGGGCCCTCTTAGGCCATCTTGGGGCTTTCTCGGGCCGTCTCGGGGTCCTCTTGACCTACTGGGGGGTCTGTTGCGGTCGATGTGGTGTCGTTTGGGGCCGTCGATGTACAGGCTCGGGGGAGTTTTTTCCTAACGCTGGACACCGGGGCCAACGCTGCGAGAAGATGTGGGCTTGGCACCACAGATTTCACCGCAAAGCTTGCGACGATGTGGGTTTGCACCACGCAGCTTGCACCACATAGCTTCTACCGCATAGCTGACACCACATCGCCTGCACCGCGGCCAAACCGTGTGCATCGTGAGGACGTCTCACGAGAAACCGCGCCCAAATGATGCCAAACCAAGGCAATCTTGAGCACGCCTCAGGCGAAACCGCACCAGCACCAATCCAAGTCGAGCTAACGGCGAAGACGTCTCATGCGAAACCGCGCCGAAATCAGGACAAACCAGTCCAAGTGTGAGTAAATTTTGAGGATGTCTCAGGCGGGGCGCCTGGCCAAATCAGAGCAAACCAAACCAGGCCAAACCAGGCCAAACCAGGGGCCAAACCAGGCAAATTCTGAGAATGTCTCGGGCGAAACGCCCCAAACCAGGTTCCATCCAGTGACTTGCATAGTATCAAGGAGTGGATGGGCCTGGGGGCTACTCCCACAAGAGGTCCTGTAATTAAGATTTAATGAGGGCGGGCTGGCGGCTTTCCAAAAGTGGGCAATTTGTTGATGGTAATTGCTATCGAATTCGTCATTTTTTCTGGCTCGTGCGCGGCCCCCCACTTTTGCGGCCTCCCCGCGGCTTCTCCCAACACGATCGATTTATGTGGCTGGGCCGCGACTGGATGTATGTGCTCGGGGCGCAACAGCATGTGCTTGTCTTGCGAGTGTTCTCGGGGCAACGGTGTCGCGTTAGGAGAAATCTTCCCGAGGCTGTAGGGCCGCCTGGAGCTGCGGGAAACCTGAAAAGGTGAAACCTCCCACACCTTTGAACATCCAAGAGAAACAACGATGTTGGTTTCTTCGAGCCCTGCTGGGGGTTCTGTTGTGGCCCTTGTGGGCTGTCTTGGGGGCGGGCGGTCTTGATGCCAACCTGGACCGCCTTGGGCCACCATCGTGGGCCGTCCTGGAGGCATCTTGGATTATCTTAGCGGCTTTGGTTGCCTGCCTGAGCCGTCTTGCAAGCTCAGGAGCGCGGACACATTGTTTTTAGTGGGTGATCGTGTCCTCGGGCGCGCGGATCGTGGCCTCGGGAGCGCAGATCCATAAGATCCATAAGTTTGTGCAAGGCGTAGCCTCGGGAGCCATGGCTGTTTTACAAGGGATCGTGGCCTCGGGAGGGGGCGGTGCATGCTGTACTCCGCGAGTAGAGGGGGGTGGTCGACTCTGAGAAGGATTTGCAGAAGCCCTACCAGGCAGCACTCGGCATTCTACTACCCCTCAATGTGCCAGGGTGCACGGAGGCGGATGATTGGAATCGCACCCGTGTTCGAGCCTTCCTTGCAATTTACTCAAGGATCACGCTCAAGCTTGTGACTTCCAGGATGCATTCAGGAGTCGCGCTCTCGCTGAAGGCGTGCGTGCAATGTACTCAAGAATCGTGCTCTCGCCTGCGCTAGCTCATGATTTATTCAGGATGAGCGCTCTCGCCGCTCTGGGGGCGCGCTCTCGCCCAGCATCCTCCGCGCAATGCACTCACGAATCGCGCTCTCGCCAGGCATGCCTTCGTCGTTCATGGTCCCACCCGCCCGACTCGCCCGACGGGGTCCGCCCGCCCGACCCGCTCGTTGCGGTCCGTTCGCTCGGCCCACCCGTCGGGGACCGCCCGCCCGACCCGCATGTTTGGATGCACAAGGCCAGTCGTCCGATAGGGTCCCCGTTGACGTTCGACGACGACGACGCAACGACGAGGACGACGATGAAGATGACGATGAAGATGAAGCTGAAGATGGAGATAAATATGCAGATGCTGCTGCTGATGATGAAGATGATGATGATGATGATGATGATGATGAGGATGATGATGATGATGATGATGACGATGATATTTTTGATGCTGGTGATGATGCGGATGATGAGGAGGAGGGTGGTGGTGGTGGTGGTGGTTGTGGTGGATGACGATCGTGCTGATGATAGTGATCGTGAGGGTGATGTTTTTGTGATGGTAAGGTTAACGTCGAATGTGTTGACGGTGATGACCGTGACGAATGTGGATGACAAGGCAATGACGCCGATATCGACGACGTTGATGGTTATGCTGCTGATGATGGTGACGGCGATGCTGATGATGCTGCTGGTGATGATGACGATGACGATGATGACGATCACGATCATGATGAGGCTGATGCTGATGATCCTGATGATGATGCTGCTGTTGATGATGGTGATGGTGATGGTGGTGATGATGATGCTGATGATGATGAGTGTGGTGATAGTGATGCTGATAGTGGTGACGGTGATATTGATGATGATGATTGTTCTGATTGTGCTGCTACTGATGATTACGATGATGACGACGATGACGATGGTGATGATGATGATGCTGATGATGATACTGATGATGATGATGATGATGATGATGATGATGATGATGAGGATGGTGATGGTGATGGTGATGGTGATGGTGATGGTGGTGATGGTGGTGATGATGATGCTGATGATGATGATGACGGTGATGCTGATGGTGATGCTGACGATGATGCTGATGCTGCTGCTGATGATGATGATGACGATGATGACGATGATGATGATGATGATGATGATGATGATGATGATGATGATGATGATGATGATGATGATGATGCTGATGACGGTAAGGGAGAGTGGAGCGAAGCATGGTTGTTCTTAGTTTTGGTCTTTCTACTCTCCAACTATCCATTCCTTCTTCCCTCCTCCCTCCTCTTTCCCCGCCTTCCTCCTCCGCCCTCTCTCCTCCTCCTCCTCCCCCTCCTCCTGCCTTCTCCTTCCTTCTCCCTCCTCCTCCTCCCGCCTCTCTCGTCCCTCTGTGTTGTTGGGTTGCTCTGTCCTCCTCCTCCTCCTCCTTTATCGTTCATCCTCTTCCACCGCCTGTTCTGTTGGGCCCCACCTCTCCCCTCATCCCTCCCTCCCTCCCTCCTCCTCGTCTGCCTCTCCGTGGTGTTGGGCCTCATAGGTCAGTTGAGCAGGAAGGACGTGGAGCACATGAGCAAGTACTTGGGCTTCCCGCACGCCAAGGCGGTGCTGCCACCATCGATTGGGGAAGAAGAGGCGAAGTGGGAGGGAGAGGGGAAACAGGAGGAGGGGGAGGAGGAGTTTTCGGGGTGGGTGGGGGCTGGGGGAGGTTGCGGTCGGGGACGAGATGAGGAAAAGGTGGTGGAGGAGGAGCAGGAGGAGCAGGATGAGCAGGAGGAGAAGTATTACAAGTGGATGCAGCAAGGACTGGAAGGGCGACGGCAGGAAAAACAAACATAATACCAGCACAAGGACATGCCTTGGAATCGCTGGACGGGGAACATACGGCTTACACATCCACACAAGATACTACCATGCATCGGCGTCCAACTGTATGATCCACCACAGGGACAAGCCGACCACTCTTTCGAGCCATCTGCACCACCTCACCCAATACCACCACTTACACCCAAGATGCCTAAACTAACAAACACGGCACCACCTATTACAGCAAAAGCGACCCCAAGCAGCACCTGCATCGAGCACTACTCCGCTACACTATCATCAAGCAAAGCTACCACTATTGAAGGCGTCCGCCGCCGCCACCTCACAAGTAGCAGCACCACACTACGACGACCTCGAGAGCGACGACGAACGCGACAGTGACAACTACAGATACGTACCCACCCACAGCACGACGTGCACTGCTCGACAGAGTGGAAGGCATGCACATCAACCTAAGAAAGATAGGAAGACGCTAGCTGGCAGTAAACTACACTTACTACAACGAGAATGACAATGCATATGCCTATATTCCTGAACGATCATTATCTGTTACTCGACTCATGGCATGATACCTCGGCAAGTATAACCGTGAAAACTGCGTCAGCAACTTCTTACACGTACGTGTTACCACACCCACCTATCATGCCTGATGCGACAACAACACAACTTTCTCATTACTGGCTCCCACCAACTGAGCATACTACATGTCTGATTCCCAAGAACGCCACTCAAGCAGACTCCTATGACGTAACGCTCCCCCCCCAGTGCGCTCCGGGCACTGCCGCCGTGCGCATTGGGATCCGCGTAGGTGTCCGCGTAGGAATCCGCATAGGTATTTGGTCCGCAGGCGTCGTCGTCGTCGTCGTCGTCGTCGTCGTCGTCGTCGTCTTCGTCGTCCGTCGTCGTCGCTCGTGGTTCGTCGCTCGTTGCTCATCGTCGTCGTGCGCGCGGACGCGGCTGGAGCCTGTTTTAAAGTCCGGGCCGATGACGGCAATCATCTGGGGGGGGAGGGGGTCGATGACGTCACGTTTCGCGCCGGCGGCGTCTGGGAATGCTTAGGAATGACGGAGGACGGGTAGCACGAACGTGTAGGTGGCGATATGCACCACAACGCCTGTGTACATCAGAGTGCCCGCGTGCACCACAGCGCCTGTTTACACCACGCCGCCGCTGTACACCACAGCAGCCGCGTGCAACACAGCGTCAGTTTGTGCCACCGTGCCTGCGGGCACAGCAGCTCCTGTGTACACCACAGCGCCTCCGTACACCACATCAGCCGTGCGCAACACAGCACCAGTGTACACCACAATGCCTGCGTGCATTGCAGTGCCTGTGTGCGCCACGGCGCGTGTGTGCACAACATCAGCCGTGTGCAACACAACACCATTGTTGTGACAAAATGGAGCGCGTTTGGATTCCAGAGAAAGCGATGGAAAACAAATCCTCATGGACGAAGGAGCGCCGCTGGAATCTACGAGTCCCCCCGAGTCCGCCCGCATCACCCTAACTCCCATTTGCGTTAAGGAGGCTCCAGCTAAACTGGCCGTCCGAGAACCAAGTGGACCGATTCAATCGACCATTCTGCGGTGCACGCTGAGTTGCGCACGTGCGTTGTAACGCCAAGCTGCACGACAGGGCGTTAAGAAGGAGGAGCAGGAGGAGGAGGAGGAGGAGGAGGAGGAGGAGGACGAGGAGGACGAGGAGGAAGAGGAGGAAAAGGTGGAGGAGGAGGAGGAGGAGGAGGAGGAGGTGGAGGAAGAGGGAGGAGGGAAAAACGTCGCATTCAATTATCAAAACTTTCCTGGCGTGGCGTTTAGGTGTCCGCGTCAGATCCTGACGTACATGCTCCTTCTACTTGTCCTATGCACGCAGGCACTGGTGTACACCAGCGCTGCGTTACACGCGGATGCTGTGGTGTAGACAGGCGGTGTGGCGTGCACAGGCGCTGCGGTGCACGCAAGCACAGTGGTGTACACAGGCGTTGTGTTGCACATGGCTGCTGCGGTGTATGCGCGCCAGCGCTGTAGTGCTCCCAAGTATTGTGGTATACACGGGCGGTGTGTTGCACACGGCTGTTACGGTGTACGCAGGCGCTGTGGTGCACACGCGCGGTGTGGTGCACGCGAGCGTTGTGGTGTACACAGGCGCTCGCGTCGTCGTCGTCGCTGGTCGCTCGTCGCTCGTCGCGTCGTGCGCGCGGGCGCGGCTGTGGTGCCGGAGCCACACGGCGGGGGGGGGCGTCATGTCATATCCCCTCCGCCCCCCCCCCCCCCCCCCATGACGCCCGTACTCGCCGAACATAAAAGAAACACGCTCTTGAACTCCAGAACTACTTCTGTAATCGTTACGGTCTCGCAGTGGCTCCATACTTGCCATGATGGTGATTGTAGTGGCTCCATACTTGCCATCCTGATGGCGACTGGACAGTTCACTTACACGACACAGCGCAACTGCTACAGGAAATCAACTGTCGATTTGACCTACCATCAGATCGCAACACTGACACGCCATTAGCATCAAACTCATACGTCAGCAGTGGATCCTACTATGATTCTAATACACCACTACTTACACCTCAAGCGAAACAACCAAGCACCCAACCTGCAGCAGCACCAACGACCCACGAGCACACCGCAATCACGGCACTGCCGGCACCACCGAGCACCTCTACAGACAACAGGGCGATTCGCAGCCCAACGCACCTTGTGCTCAAGATCCCTGTGGTCTGCCCACCACCCAGTGCAGAAGCCGCATAATTTTTCGGGGTAGTCGATATTCCACCCGACGTGCGTGTGCACCACAGACATGTACTACCATCAGCTCATATTTCCCACCAGAGGCTGCACCACTTATGTTAGAGGGGCAAGCTGGTTCCACTCCAGTGCCAGCAGAGGACAGTTACTATGAGGCGCTACGCGTCGACGACACAAACGGCCAGCAACTGTAACATTATTGAACCATACTCCGCAACCGCTACCAGCAATACCAGGAGTACATGGGAGAAGTGGGCAGACGCAACTCACAGCTCCAAGAGACTCACCACCAGAGCTAGACTACAGTACCGCATCAAGCACCACCGACGCCCCAGCCAACATTCCCAACATACTTTCCTGGGCATACGCCATTCTGGGGGCTAGATGGCAGACTCCACAGTCTACGATCTCACGTCTCCCACGACAGCCATTACGTATTCGACACTGACCGTCAGGACCTCGAGTGTTGACTGGTCTCCTCTCTTTCTTTATTTTCACGCGTGCTTGCGCATCGAGATCCTGCCTTCGTTCCGTGGTCTCTCTGCCTTCTGGGTCCTCTACTTATTGGGTAATGGTTTTAAGGTGGAGGGGGGGGCGCCCAACATATGCGGCAGTGGTGGGGCGGAGGAGATAACTCGCTGGCGCCTTTTGGGCGCCTCAGCCGGCAGACACCAGAAAAGCAGCCAGCCACCAGTGCCCACATTTCACTAACCCCTTGCTTCACAGGGTTCGTGCTAAACCCGGAAATATTCCCAAAAACACGCGGGTCTTAGGACCGATGAGGACTTCATCGAGGTTTGGGGTGAACCGAAAGACCCTGGGTAGCAGCCGAAGAACTGCCGCCTGCACCCGGCGTGCCACATGTGAATCTTGTATCCTACCGGCTAAGAGCCTTCGGTGAAGGCCATGCTGGTTGGAGGGATGGGGTTGTTGGGAGGAGTACTCGGGTGGAGGAAAGCACGCAGCAGCGTATCGGGCCCCCTGGGCGGCTGGGAGTGGCCCCGCCGCCGCTTGTAATCTGGCCTGGTACCGAGCGCACAGTAACATGCCGAGCACAACGCTTCAACTGCAGCGTCCAATGCCTGCCAGTACCGACTGAGCCAGCCTTGTATGTTGAGCCCGAGACATTTTTGATTTTCAACGCCTTAGGGCAGCCTGTACCGTCTGAGCAAGCCTCACGGCAGAAATGCGCTCGCCTACATCGCCACAGTTATTGCCAGCTTATTTTACAGAAGTGCCGCAGCTACCAGTAAACAGCTCTACAGTTTAGGCTAGCCTTCCTTCCAGTACTTGTGATAGCAATGCGCCTTTCTGCTCGGCAGCTCAGACACACGCCATATTAGCTTACGTACTCGCCACATCTACCAGCAAACAGCTTACGGCCTAGGCCAGCCATTCCGCATGCGCCTGTTTTTTCCTATCATATCTGATCATCCGTGCAAACATGTGCCTGACAGCCCAGACTTAGCCAACGGAGGTACGACGGGGGACTTAGGTGGATCAGGAGGCGATGCTTGTGGCCAGCCCTTACTCTGATAATCAGATACGTAGACATGAGGGTGATTTGCTGTTGATGTTTGTTTCGGTCGTGTTCCTTACTTGGGCTGTATCGTGTAAACCTGGGGGTCCAAGGGGCGCTGGGTCCAGTAGAAGAGAACTATCCAACGGGGAGTCTGAAGGCTCAAGCTTATTGCTTCCTTTGTGTTGTGTGCTTGTGCAATCTTGCGCTATGTTGGTGGCCATCTTGTGCCATATTAGATGCATTCCTTCCCTCCCTCTTACTTCCCCCCTTCGGATAATATCAAGAGGGACCAGGATGGCCCGAGACGGTACACGATGACTTCAGGACTGCCCTCGAATCTGTATATCATTATTGATCGTGCGACGCCCTAGGAGACCTAATGCCCGCGCGCGTGAAACAACTCCTCGTCGACATCGTCGTAGCATTTCTTCAGGCTGGGTAGAAAAAAACGCAGGGGGGACGTAGCAACCTCTGACCTACTAGTGGTAGTGGTAGTGCGAATG